TCCTAACATCCCTGTGACTCATCTGTGTTTTCAACTTCCAGTTATGTCCCTTCGTTGCTGTGTCCCATCTCTGAAACATCCAGTCCCTATCCACCCTGTCAATTCCTTTCAACATTTTATAAGTCGTTATCATGTCCCCTCCTATCTCTCCTGTCCTTCAGTGTCGTAAGATTGATTTCCCTTAACCTTTCTTCGTAGGACATACCTCTTAGCTCCTGGACTAGTCTTCTTGCAAACCTCTGCACTTTCTCTAATTTCTTGACGTGCTTGACCAGGTGTGGGTTCCATACTGGTGTGTACTCACCTAATTGTGGTTGCAAGGGGTCGAGACTTAGCTCCTGGCCCCGCCTCTCCACTGATCGCTACTAGGTTCTCTCTCTCCCTGTTCCATGAGCTTTATCATACCTCGTCTTTAAGTGCTATGTATGGTTCCTGCCTCCACTACATCACTTGCTAGATTATTTCACTTCCTGACAACTCTATGACTGAAGAATACTTCCTAACATCCCTGTGACTCATCCAAGTCTTCAACTTCCAAATGTGACCCCTTGTTTCTGTGTCCCCCTCTCTGGAACATCCTGTCTCTGTCCACCTTATCTATTCCACGCAGTATTTTGTATGTCGTTATCATGTCTCCCCTAACCCTCCTGTTCTCCAGTGTAGTGAGGCCGATTTCCCTTAACCTTTCTTTGTAGGACATCCCCATTAGCTCTGGAACTAGCCTTGCTGTAAACCTTTGCACTTTCTCTAATTTCTTGACGTGCTTGACCGGGTGTGGGTTCCAAACTGGTTCTGCATACTCCAGTATTTGCCTGATGTACACAGTGTACAGTGTCTGGAAAGATTCCTTACTTAGGTATCGGAACACTATTCTCAGGTTTGCCAGGCGCCCATATGCTGCAACAGTTATCTGGTTGATGTGTGCTTCCGGAGACGTGCTCCGTGTTATACTCACCCCAAGATCTTTCTCCTTGAGCGAGGTTTGCAGTCTTTGGGCACCTAGCCTATACTCTGTCTGAGGTCTTCTTTGCCCTTCCCCGATCTTCATGACTTTGCATTTGGCTGGGTTAAATTCGAGAAGCAAGTTGCTGGACCAGGTGTCCAGCCAGTCCAGGTCTCTTTGAAGTCCTGCCTGATCCTCATCTGATTTAATTCTCTTCATTAACTTCACATCATCTGCGAACAGGGACACCTCTGGGTCTATCCCTTCCATCATGTCATTCACATATACCAAAAATGGCACTGGTCCTAGGACCGACCCCTGTGGGACCCCGCTCGTCACAGGTGCCCATTGTGATACCTCATCACGTACCATGGCTCGTTGTTGACTCCCTGTCAGGTATTCTCTGATTCATTGCAGTGCCCTTCCCGTTATACGCGCCTAATCCTCTAGTTTCTGCACTAATCTTTTGTGAGGAACTGTGTCGAAGGCCTTCTTGCAGTCCAGGAAAATGCAATCAACCCACCCCTCTCTCTCGTGTTTTACTTCTGTTACTTTGTCATAAAACTCCAGAAGGGTTGTGACACAGGATTTGCTTTCCACGAGTCCGTGTTGGTTGTCGTTTATATTCTTGTTCCATTCCAGGTGCTCCACCACTCTCCTCCTGATAATCTTCTCCATGACTTTGCATACTATACCCGTCAGTGACACTGGTCTGTAGTTTAATGTCTCTTTTCTGTCTCATTTTTTTAAAATTGGAACTACATTTGCAGTCTTCCATACCTCAGGTAGTTGCCCAATTTCAAGGGATGTGTTGAAGATTTTGGTTAGTGGCACACACAGGATTTCTTCTCCCTGTCTAAGGACCCATAGGGAGATGTCCGGTCCCATTGCCTTTGAGGTATTAAGGTCACTTAGCAGCTTCTTTACCTCCTCCTCAGTTGTGTCTATGTCATCCAACACTTGTTGGTGTATTCCTTGTTAGTGCCCCCCTCTGTTCTCTCTTCCCAGAGTCCCTCCTGTCTCCACTGTAAATACTTCCTTAAATCTCATGTTGAGCTCCTCACATACCTCTAGATCGCTTCTGTTGAGTTCCCCACCTTCTTTTCTCAGCCTGATCACCTGGTCTTTGACTGTTGTCTTTCTCCTAATGTGGCTATACAGCAGTTTCGGGTCAGACTTAACTTTCGATGCTATGTCGCTTTCGTACTTTCGCTGGGCCTCCCTCCTTATCTGTGCATACTCATTTCTGGCTCTTCGACTGATCTCCTTATTTTCCTGTGTCCTTTGCCTTCTGTACCTTTCCCATTCTCTAGTGCACTTAGTTTTTGCCTCCCTACACCTTCGGGTAAACCAAGGACTCACTTTGGTCTTCCCATTAATTCTTTTGCCCTTGGGAACAAACCTTTTCTCTGCCTCCTTGCATTTTGTTGTTACATATTCCATCATTTCGTTTACTGACTTTCGTACCAGTTCTCTGTCCCACTGAACCTCCTGCAGGAAGTTCCTCATACTTGTGTAGCCCCCCCCCCCCTTCCTTTTATAGTTTGGCTTTTCCCATTCGACTCCTGTTACCCTCTCCACTTGTAACTCTATGTAATCATAACTCAGTGTGTGTGTGTGTGTGTGTGTGTGTGTGTGTGTGTGTGTGTGTGTGTGTGTGTGTGTGTGTGTTGGGGGGAAGGGGAGAGTACAGGGTAGTGTTCGTGTGGGTGTAGCTAGGGAGCCAGGAAGTCGAGGGGTGGGATATCCGGGAAGAGGGATGGTGGGACGAGGAGTCAGGGGTGCCAGCACCAGGCTACAGATAATGCTATACTTCCCACCATTTTCGTGCTATTCCTCTTATATTATCGTACATAAATTTTAACATATATTAACAAGTGATATGACGAGTATTGCAATGTGATTTGCGTCATGTAATTTAGCTTAAACCGCAACATATTGTTCAATTACATTTAAATGAATTCTACAAACCTCTTTCGCTAGAAGCAGTACAGGTACCCATCTCTGTATGGTATAAACAGGCTGTCAGCAGACCCTGATATATGTAGCTTATAGAATTTATTCACAAACCCTCAAAGCCCGCCCTTCAAACCTATCACTGTACAGATTAGAGAGTGTAAAGAATACACTGAAGACGGGACACTACAAACATAACTACAAATAGATAATTACACACACACATACACGCACACAGACGGCTACAAGTGAATCGAATCAGTGTGGTGCACCAGCAACTGCTGGACACAATGCATACAACTGGGGAAGAGGTGAAGAAACTGTTGTGTGAGCTAGATACCTCGAAGGCAGTGACACCAAATATCTGTCCATGAATCGTGAGATAGGGAGCAGAGGTATTATGTGGGCCACTAGCAATAATCTTCAACAAGTCATTCGACGCCGAACTGCCGAAGGCGTGGAAGCCAACAAATGTAGTTCCAATTTTTAAGAAAAGAGACAGAAAGGTAGCGTTAAGCTACAGACCAGCGTCACTGACATGCATAGTAAGCAAGGTTATGGAGAAGATTATCAGGAGAAGAGTGGGGAAGCACCTAGAAAGGAGTGGGTTCATACATAACCAACACAACTTTAGAGATGGTAAATCCTGTCTCACAAAAATACTGGAGCTCCATAACAAGGCAACATAAATAAAGCAGGAGAGAGAGAGAAAAAAAAAGGATGGGTTAGATTGCATTTTCTTGGACTGCAGGAAGGCATTTGACACAGTACCGCAAGCTAAAGGAGCAGTCAGAAATAACAGAAAAGGCACTATAATGAATCAAGGCATACATGCATAACAGGAAGTAAACGAGGGACTGTCCGAGATGTGTCTGAATGGATGCATATGACAATTAGGGCTCCACAAGGCTAAGTACAAGGATCGGTATTTTTTCTTGTATACGTCACTGATGTGACAGAAGGGATAGACTAAGAGGTATCCCTGTTCGCAGATTATGTGAAACTAATGAGGAGACTACAAGCAGATTAGGAACAGGAAGGACTACAATGGCTCTGGATAGGCTGCAGATCTGGTCCGACAAGTGGTTACTGTTATTTAACCCCAGCAAGTGTAAAGTTATGAAGTTTGGGGAGGGGCAAAGAAGACCGCAGTCGGAGTACATTATTATTATTATAATCAAGGGGGAAGCGCTAAACCCGTAGGATTATACAGCGCCTGGGGGGTTGTAGAAGGCATTCAGGCTTAATTCGGGGAACTGGAGCACAGATCCAATTCCCTAAATCAAGAGCCCCTCACCAACATCAAGGAACCTTCCCTGAGGGGAGTCGGAGTACAGACTCGGGGATGGGGGAAAGGCGCAAACGCTGCAAACATCTCTCAAGGAGAAGGACCTTTGGGTGAGTAGTATACCGAGCATATCGCCTGAGGCGATCAACCGAATAACAGCTTCAGCAAATGCGCGTCTAACAAATCCAAGACTAGCTGTCAGAAATCTAAATAAGGAGTCATTCATGACACTATACGATGTACGTCAGGCCAATATTGGAGTATGAAGCACTAGTACAGAATCTTACGCCTGGTCAAGCATATCAGGAAAAAGAGCAAAGGTCTGCAATTAAACTAGTCCTGGAGCTAAGGGGTATGTCCTATGAGGAAAATTTAAAGGAAACGTAATCTGATGATACTAGAGGAAATACTAGGGGTGATACGATAATAACGTACAAAATACCGAGGGGGAATTGATAGGGTGGACAGGAACAGTTTGAGACGGAAAACAGAACACGAGGACACAGCTGGAAGCTGAAAACAAAGAAGAGTCACAGAGATGTTAGGATGTATTTCATCAGTCTTAGTGTAGTCAGGCAGTGGAGTGGAGGTAGAATCCATACATAGCTGTAAGAAAAGGTACGATAAGGTTCTCGAAGTCAGGAGAGAGTGAACCTAATAGCAACCCGCGAAAAGGAAGTGCTAACCACATGAAAGGTGAGCACACGCATGCATGCACGCACACACACACACACACACATACACTGGCAGGAAAAACACATCAGGCATACAAGGAAACTGTCATGTAATTCCGGCCAACACCTATCATGAGAGCTGCGATGTGTGTACCTCAGTTCACGGTGTGCTCTCTCTGGCAACAGATATAAGCAGTGTGTGTGGTATCTAGGGTAAGTTATCGGCAGTGTGTGGGACATCTAGAGATACCGGCAGTGTATGGGGTATGAAGGGTGAGATATCGGCAGTATGTGGGGTATCCAGGGTGAGATATCTGTAGTTTTGGATATCTAGGGTGACATGTCAGCATAATGGAGACTACACTGTTACCGACACACACACACACACACACACACACACACACACACACACACACGATATAATAATAATAATATTATATATATATATATATATATATATATATATATATATATATATATAAACACTGATCTCTGGCTGAAGGAGACTCGAACCTACGAGCCTAAGGACAAGGTACGCAGTGCTTTACCAATCTACCCACACTGGACAATACCTGGGCGTGTAGCATGCGCTACACGTTTGATCCAAGGCAGCCAGCTTTCAGGGAGAAGGCTTACAGCTTTTCATCTCATCCCCTGCATGCATCAGCCTTACTAGAGATTTGAACAATGCAAGGAATTCGCGAGAGCATGCGAAATATACACAAACACTGATCTCTGGCTGAAGGAGACTCGAACCTACGAACCTTAGGACAAAGTACGCAGTGCTTTACCAATCTACCCACACTGGACAATACCTTGGCGTGTAGCATGCGCTACACGTTTGATTCAAGGCAGCCAGCTTTCAGGGAGAAGGCTTACAGCTTTTCATCTCATCCCCTGCATGCATCAGCCTTACTAGAGATTTGAACAATGCAAGGAATTCGCGAGAGTATGCGAAATATACACAAACACTGATCTCTGGCTGAAGGAGACTCGAACCTACGAACCTTAGGACAAGGTACGCAGTGCTTTACCAATCTACCCACACTGGACAATACCTTGGCGTGTAGCAAGCGCTACACGCTTGATCCAAGGCAGCCAGCTTTCAGGGAGAAGGCTTACAGCTTTTCATCTCATCCCCTGCATGCATCAGCCTTACTAGAGATTTGAACAATGCAAGGAATTCGCGAGAGCATGCGAAATATACACAAACACTGATCTCTCGCATGCTCTCGCGAATTCCTTGCATTGTTCAAATCTCTAGTAAGGCTGATGCATGCAGGGGATGAGATGAAAAGCTGTAAGCCTTCTCCCTGAAAGCTGGCTGCCTTGGATCAAACGTGTAGCGCATGCTACACGCCAAGGTATTGTCCAGTGTGGGTAGATTGGTAAAGCACTGCGTGCCTTGTCCTAAGGTTCGCAGGTTCGAGTCTCCTTCAGCCAGAGATCAGTGTTTGTGTATATTTCGCATGCTCTGGCGAATTCCTTGTATATATATATATAAGAACATTTATTAATAAACCGAATATATTTACAGAAAAAAACATAAACATGAATACAATAGCACAATGTATCAAAGATCATGAATTTCCTCCAGCTCCTCTGAGGCTGGACGCGAGCCAAGTATGCAGCAAGCATTTCCCCTCTGGATGGCTACGCCGAGGCGCTGGAACATGCAAGTGGCTGCCCTTGGGCCCTTGGTGGTGTCGATGAGTCTGGAACCCAATTCTTAAAGGAAACGTGTGCCATTTTTTCCCCATGATCCCATGGTCTCTGATCCCACTGGGACAAATTGATACTGTTGGCTTATGTTCCTGTACTTGCTGATCTTGCACTCCTCTCTGTAGTCAGCAGCTCCTCCCTGTCGCCCCACACTGTGATGGATATAGGTGTCAGCCAGTGTGGACACAAAGGTATAGTCCCATGCTAAGAGCTTGCCATTCTTCCAAGGATAGATGGTGATCCTGTCCTGGCGGTTTGCTGGGTTGTGGGTATTGTTGGCTGCTAGTGATCGGGGCTCCCTCTCGGCTGGGCATCCAGCTGTAGCAAGGGTTCTCTTAATGATGTCGTTGACCTCATTGTGTCTTGCATGCCAGCCCTTGGTTTTGGAACAGTTAAGACCATGTAGACCGTATTGGTCTGCTTGCGCTTCGCCGCAAATACACGTATATCCTGTGTGAATTGGGGCACCAAGGCGCATATATATATATATATATATATATATATATATATATATATATATATATATATATATATATATATATATATATATATATATATATATATATATGTCTTCTTATAACCAGGTGCCGTTGCCCTAATACTATTACTATGCTGTACTGATGCTGATACTAATACCACTTCCATCTCCCCTCCCCCTTTCCTACTTGTTATCTAGTCATCTTTGCTTTTCTCGTTCATTTGTGTTTCGACAATGGTCCAGAATGGCCCGAAACGTTGTCTTAATTTTATTTTAACAGTATGAATATATTTTGTGATTCGTTTTAGCCACGTCACAGTGAGTTGTATTTTTCAGGTATTGCCCTGTAACAAACAGCAGAAGCAGCCAGCTGGGCAGTACACACATCCTCACTGGTACACATTGAACCTCTTGATATGACGACTAAAGGTATTTTGATTTGAAGTTTTGGTGATAGTTATGAGATTTAAAGTTTTGCATACGCATTTACGTGTGTTTAAAATAAATTTCAGTAGTTTCTTATTATATTTACAGGCAGTAAGCTTTCGTGAGCACACGCACTCACGATTAGATATGTAGTCATACAGAGGAGCCTTATAAATAACCACACAAATAACACTGGACACACACGCCCATTGCCCACCCACAACATAAAAAGTATGCACCCATTTCATGTAAACTACACACAGTATATACTCGCATATATATCCACTGCCATGTCCTCAACACAAATGTATACCCACTTGTAAGTGCGCAACACAGTTGTGATCTATATTTCGCATGTAACCTAGAATGTTACTGACTTATTTTGTCGGCCATACTGAAGTGTAACAGCACTGATAAGCACGTACACACGGGATTTCGCTTATTTTTCTTAGCCTCTACGATGGTTATTGCTTGTTGTGTGCTGTTGGATGCAACAAAACTCATAAGTCATATCAAACTTTTTACAGGTTCTCCGACGATTCTGAAGAACGAAAACTTGCCAGTGAGGCAGCCTTGTTATCCAGCCCACAAAATAGTGGTGGGTCTCAAGGCTACTTGTAGGCTTTCACATCCTCTCCAGCATTGAGAGAGAGAGAGAGAGAGAGAGAGAGAGAGAGAGAGAGAGAGAGAGAGAGAGAGAGAGAGAGAGAGAGAGAGAGAGAGAGAGAGAGAGAGAAGAGAGAGAGAGAGAGAGAGCGAGAGAGAGATAGAGAGAGAGACTGTTCACGTAATGGTATAAATCATGAGTTTATCGATGCATAGTTTATCAACACAAGACCGTGTGAAGGCACAGCAATATAACTGACAATAATTACAAAATAAAAAAAAATGTACGTGGATTAATAAGTCTAATGAAGAAAGATAAAAGTGTTGTCATTCAGCATTGTCCACCAGCAGTGCATTCCCCCACCAGGACACAAAGGAAAGCTCAGTACACTCCCTGTTATGTGGGTCATTATGCCACTGTAGCACTATCTTCCCACCTTCACCGTGTTATGAGGGTTATTATACAACTGTGTAGCACTATCCTCCCACCACCACCTAGCGTAGTGGATTTTCCCTTGGTAATCAAGAGTTATGTATTATACTCAAATTAGTAATGATGAATTATGGTCCATGTAGACATGCTCTTCATTTACATGCAAAGATACATTCTTAACTAAGTGATGGATTTGTTGGTTTACTAGCCTATGAAATCACATGATGGATATCAATGCTGCATGGAACCTGTAATCCACCAGTCAAGGATAATTAATCCCAAAGTAGGGATTACAGAAATCTCTCAGCATGTATGCACATAAACCTCTCACTGGGTGTTTTTATCTTCCAGTAAATGATGAAAAAATATCCATCTTTCAGTATATTATACATATATTTTCCCATTAGTATTAAATGACATGATCAAGGTAATTTCCGGAGGAATCTATTAGATACAGTGCCCTTCAAGATGGGAGGGAGGGGGGATGCATGGCCTTGACGATAGTAAAGGGCTTTTGATCGATGGGTTTTGTATTAGTAAGCATATGTGATAAACTTATGCTATATATGGTGAACACTATCTCTCCTTACGCTGGAAATTGTGTACAAACCTACAAAAGCCTTCAAGCACACCAGTACTCTGGGGCTGGGTAAGAAGCCAGCGTCTGTGGCAGGTATCTTAGTGTCGTGGACAGCAGCACGCCTCATCACGGTTGTAGTAAATAAACGTGTTATAACACATCAGTATTTGTGCTCAAGCAGCTTTAAGTTACTGAAGGTTAAGATAAAGTAATATGTGTTCAGATTTTTTAACCCGGAGGGATAGTTACTCAGGATAACCCAAGAAAGTCAGTGCTGACGTCATCGAGGACTGAATGTCTTATTTTCATTGGGGTCCTTCAGTCTTGTCCTCCAGGATGCGGCCCACGACAGTCTATTAACACCCTGTACCTACTTATTGCTAGGTGGACAGGGACAGCAGGTGTAAGGAAACATGGCAACGTTTCCACCCGTTCCGGGACTGAACAACGGACACTCAGTGTGAGGCTAGAACGTTGCCAACCGAGCCCCGGGGCGATTATCTTTTTTTATAGGTATAATTAAATTTTGTCTCTTCTCAATGAATGTTAATTTACAAAAGACATTTACAAAGTGTGTTAATGTTGATTTAAAATCACATGCTCTTAGAGCTGTTTAACTAATAGCTGATACAATTTGTATATATTCTGATGAGTATATCACCTTTGATGTGTGTACACAACGAGCAACAGTGAATGTACACATAGACGGGTATATATATCAGTTTATATACTCAGAGTTTACTCTAATCCCAATAATTATTTATAACTTCAAGCATCTGTGAAGTCAAGTATCCACCGTTAAATATTAGCTACACAGACCACTGTATTCTAATATCATTAATTAAATTTCCATTTCCCTGCCACTGTATGACGCATGGAGGTCATGCAGTGACTGGGGAATGGAAGGCAATAAGGTTTGCTATGAAAAATGTAAGGGATAGCTCCAAATTCTTGGATCAAGAACTTTGCACCAGCATCAAGGCACCTTTAATGGAATTCCTGCTTCTCCTAGTCTTTCCGCTTCGCAGCAAAAATCCTTCATTTTCGCCTTTCAAAATCCACTGGGAATTTGTAGAATGTTAGACTTGAATTTATCATCTTGCCGACTGTTACATCTAGAGCACAATAAGAAATAACCATCACAGAGGCTTAGAAAGATGGAATGTTATGTTCATGTGAAGTATGTGTAAGTGATGTTACTGCGGCTTCACGTCCAACATGGCCAACAAAATTAGAGTCAGTAACCCGTGACGTTACATGCAAAACCTCAATAACTGCAAACCTTTAAAAATGGGACGGTGCTGGTAACGTGTGCAGAATAACAATGAATGCAGTTTATAGGAAGGGGAAATGTTGAGGCTATCATAGGTGTATATATTTAGCATATAGTCTACCAGAGGGGTCTCTACCTCTATTTATTATCATATTTGTGGGGAAGTACTAAACCCGTAGAGGTTGTTACAATGGGAGGGGAATGGTAAGTAACGAGGTTTGATCCAGGGAGAACTGAGCGCTAATTCGTTGATCAACCAATGACAAATGAGCCAATCATCGGTAAACCATGGTTTACCGATGTTTACCTAGGTTAAGCCTGGTTCACAGGTATACCTAAGCTACTCTGGTTTACACAGATATACTTAAGTTAACTTCTGTATCCAAGTGTCATAAGAACATAAAACACAAGAATGAACATCGCAGTAGGCCTATTAGCTCATGTAGGTAGGTTCAACTCACACCCACTCATGTACTTATCACACTTATATCTAAAGTTACCTGGAGTTTACCTGGAGAGAGTTCCGGGGGTCAACGCCCCCGCGGCCCGGTCTGTGACCAGGCCTCCTGGTGGATCAGAGCCTGATCAACCAGGCTGTTACTGCTGGCTGCACGCAAACGAACGTACGAGCCACAGCCCGGCTGGTCAGGTACCGACTTTAGGTGCTTGTCCAGTGCCAGCTTGAAGACTGCCAGGGGTCTGTTGGTAATCCCCCTTATGTATGCTGGGAGGCAGTTGAACAGTCTCGGGCCCCTGACACTTATTGTATGGTCTCTTAACGTGCTAGTGACACCCCTGCTTTTCATTGGGGGGATGTTGCATCGTCTGCCAAGTCTTTTGCTTTCGTAGTGAGTGATTTTCGTGTGCAAGTTCGGTACTAGTCCCTCTAGGATTTTCCAGGTGTATATAATCATGTATCTCTCCCGCCTGCGTTCCAGGGAATACAGGTTCAGGAACCTCAAGCGCTCCCAGTAATTGAGGTGTTTTATCTCCGTTATGCGCGCCGTGAAGGTTCTCTGTACATTTTCTAGGTCAGCAATTTCACCTGCCTTGAAAGGTGCTGTTAGTGTGCAGCAATATTCCAGCCTAGATAGAACAAGTGACCTGAAGAGTGTCATCATGGGCTTGGCATCAATAGTTTTGCCCAAAGTTCTCTCCTCAAAGAAGTTGCCTAGAACGTTATTCGACTCATTTATTGACAAACTAGAACTTCACTATATCCTTTCTAAATCTAAATTTGTCGAACCTGAATCCATTGCTGAGAGTCCTGTCTTAGATATTTTCAACACGCTATTTATATCCCCTTTATTCCTTCCTGTTTTCCATTTGAACACTTGAATCATGTTTTCCCAAGTTCTCTAATATACGTCTTTACAGAGAGTGCATATTCAATACCTTCAGCCCAGACTTCGTAGAAAAGGTTTCTGATACAAAGAATTAACTTCGGCATCCTTCTCTATATATTTTTCCAGCGCACTGTAACATGGAGGCCAGAACTGTGCAACATAATATAAACATACAAAGTTGAAATATAATATTAGGACTTCTATTATTCTTGTTGGTATGAAGCCAAGTATTCTATTAACTTTATTGAGACGCTTATGCACTGTTATCTTGGTTTTAAATTTCTGATAACCAGAACTCTTGATTTTTTTCTTAGTAATCACTTTGACTAAGATCATCTACTGCATCCTGTCGGTATATGCATAATATTCCGGTTCTGTCATTAAGTGGTTAATTACCCGTTGATGGGTTTCGAGAGTTTTCCTATTCCCGCAGGCCGGCCCTGGGCCAGGCTTGTCTGGTTAACCAAACTGTTGCTGTCCATTTAAAAACCAATGGATTACTGCATAGAGTTCGAAGATGATTCCAGATACATACACGAGTGGCCTAGGTGGTGGCATTTTATACGTCAGGAAAGAGAAGTGTTTTCTGGTACAAGTCTTAGTCATATGAAGACCCGCTAATAGAAATTATTGATCATGTTACAGAGACCTTCCACTGGCTTACTGGTCCATCTCGCTATATATATATATATATATATATATATATATATGGATGAATTAGGAGTGGTTGTGGTGGCGGTTTATTCGTCAGAGAACCGCCCTGACTTTTGATACAGGTCTTAATCAGATGACACGTTCGAGGTAAGAACCCACTGGAATAACTTAAATAGAGATTAAAACAAACTATCTACATATATTCACACCTATCGCTGTATATACTCTTAATACAGACGTACGCGTGTCTTTGTATATATCCCTGGCTACTTTGCAATGCTGAACGTGTTCCTATATCTGTGAGGCGGGAGACCAGCCAGGCGACCCACTCTCTCCTCCGGATGGGCCACCACACCCATACACACAATGACCAACAATGATAACGTATATGTGACCATGGAATTACCGTTTATATTATGAAAATATGCCAGAGGTCAGCTATGCCAGAACGAATTAATGTTCATATGCAATTTTTTCCTAAGTCAGATTTATAAAATACGTATATTATTGATTCGTTTTATAAATATAATAGTTTGCCATTATCTTATATTTTATATAAAAAATTATCAGTTATTTAATAATAAAAAGGGGAAAGCGCTAAACCTGTATGATTATACAGCATCTGTGGGGGGATGTGGAAGGTATTCAGGTTTAATTCAGGGAACTGGAGCACAGATCCAATTCCCTAGATCAAGAGCCCCTCACCAGCATCAAGGAACCTTCCTTGAGGGGAGTTATTTAGTCAATAAAATATTTATACCCTTACACTGGCATGCTTAAGCACTTAATAAAGAAGGTTACTTAACAAATCACAAATAAGACTATAAGATCAATGGAACCAGTATGCGCTTTTGGTCCATGCTAGGCAGGACCAATTTACACCCACTCGTATACCTGTCCAACCTTTATTTAAAGATATACAAAGTTCTCGCAAAGTTTGTTCCATTCATCCACAACTATTACCAAAAAAAGGGTGCTTCGTATATCCTTTCTAAATCAAGATCTCTCCAACTGGAATTCATTGATGCGAGTCCTGTCTTGGTTAGATTATTATTATTATTATCAAGGGGAAGCGCTAAACCCGTAGAATTATACGGTGGATGCGGAAGGAATTCAGGCTGAATTCGGGGAACTGGAGCACAGATCCAATTCCCTAAATCAAGAGCCCCTCACCAATGTCTTGGTTAGATATGCTCAGCACGTTGTTGTGTTATTTATATTCTCCTTATTTATTCCTTCTTTCTATCTGCAACCTTCAGTCATATCTCCTTCAGTTTAAAGTCTTTCAAGAGTGCAGATTCGATGCCTTCAGTCTATATTCGTACGAAAGATTTCTGATACTTGTATATTTTTACAGCGCATTTATGTCAGTTCTGTATGTAATTAGTAAAGAAGAAGTGAGAAGTGTAATGTGAACGAGACCTTACCAAACATATATAAAGTTCACGTATTTCCTTAGGACTTCCATTATTTATACTTCTTGATGAGACACTAAGAATTCTATGAGGATAATTGTGAACAGCTACACACTATTGTCTTGGCTTTAGTTAAACTTCTACTGAAATTTTTTTTAATCCTTTTCAGATTAATTTTGACCAGGATCTACATTGTGTCTTATGATATTGGCTTTATTCATGTTAAGCGCTAAACCCCTGTGAGTCATTCAGCGCACTGCTTGGTGGAGGCTTGTTGCTCCGTCTGGTGAGCGCCAGACACACGCGCGCTTCCTGTTTGTACCCACCTGTACATTTATGTATATTATGAATGGCATAGTTATTTTCTTTTCTATTCTTAGAGCCTTACATTTGTGCAGCAGTTATGGCATATCATGCTATTCGTTGGGAAGCGATAAATTCACAAGGGTCATTCATCATCTGAGAAATGTGAAAGAAGCGTTGGAGTCGATGAAATTGATGGCAGTTGCCTTTCCTTGGACACACAGCCCTTAACTAACACCATCGCACTTATTTCTCTCTGAAGGAGTTGGGACATTATTTTTAATATCATAGGAGCGCTAAACCCGTAGGGATTACATAGCCCCTGTGAGGTGGGGGTTAGGAAAACATTCAGGCTTAATTCAAGGAATTTTAAGTATTCTATTTGGGTCACCGAATTCCACTGAAGACTGTACATCACGTTTCCAGACGAAAATGTAAAGAATTGTTTAGTAAACTGCGTTTTGAGCACCTACCACGCCACTTATAACAGTAAAACAAAATATAATACTTTGCTGTAGCACAATTTTTACAAAGAGAGATTCACATTCAACTATACTCTATTTCCGGCTCCCGCAGTGCTATTTCACTTTCAAATAAATACGTATTCATACTTTCTTTCAACTGAATTGCAAAAACAATCAGACTGTGATGGATTACTGTTTTCATTTGAACTAATGGTATGTGGGCCAGCGGGCTGCCTGCAGCAAATGACTGCCTGTTTAGGCAAGTGCCAGATAAACTTGACTCTGTGGGAGTGGGAACAATCTCGAAACACGTCGAAGGTACAACATCAAACCACAATCTGACATTATTGGTATTTTTAGCACACAATACTAGCAGCTAAGCAACAAACCTAGATGTACAATCACACCATCATCTAGCTGGTAGGTAAGACACATGGGCAACAGTTAGGCAACTTTATTCCGAAACGTTTCGCCTACACAGTAGGCTTTTTCAGTCGAGCACCAAAGTAGGCAGGAGCAGTAGAGATGTGAAGACGGTGTAATCAGTCCATCACCCTTGAAGTCGGAGATTTGAGGTTGTCAGTCCCTGAGCCTGGAGAAGAGTTCTGTTCCATAGTCGGAAGCAGTTCTGGAACAGAACTCTTCTCCAGGCTGAAGGACTGACAACCTCAAATCTCCGACTTCAAGGGTGATGAACTCATTATATCATCTTCACATCTAGTCTAATGCTCCTGCCTACTTTTGCACTCGACTGAAGAAGCCTACTGTGTAGGCGAAAAGTTTCGGAATAAAGTTGCCTAACTTGTCCATGTGTCTTACCTACCAACCTGTAGGTATTGTATACCATTTTAATATTCATCATCTAGCTGACGCTATTATCATGGTTACTCCCCTAGAAGAGGAAGCAGGTTGCAGCAGTCAACATGGAGGCATCCCTCCTACACCTGCTCCACGCCTTTCACCTCCCTGCTCTAACCCTTCATCCTCCACACGTGCTGGTTTTGCTGCCTCCACCATTAGCGGAGGAGGATGTCAGGAGGTTCGGGCACTGCGGCTGGTGGGCAAGAGGGGCAAAGAAAAGGAGGCAGAGTACCCAGTCAAGACAGTTCGACAGCTGGCACGGGTGAACCTGGCAGTTTCAGCTATCATCTTCCTGTGTCAGGTAAGACGATATATAACCCTCTCTGGTTATAATTATATTCATGGAGAAGTGATAAACCCGTAAGGGTCATATGATTCCTGAGGAATGGGAAGTAATCAAGTTTTATCCTGGGAAAGGTAGGCTAGCGCCAGTTTTTGGATCAGGACTCCATCAGTATCAAGGCTGCCCACAGTCTGTGTGTACGCACCCCTTGATATACAATACTAGTGTATGACTGTGCCCACCCAAGGTACAAAGTACAGTGTATGTTGTGCCCACCCCTGGTACAAAGCACAGTGTATGTTGTGCCCACCCCTGGTACAAAGCACAGTGTATGTTGTGCCCACCCAAGGTACAAAGTACAGTGTATGTTGTGCCCACCCCAGGTACAAAGCACAGTGTATGTTGTGCCCACCCCTGGTACAAAGCACAGTGTATGTTGTGCCCACCCCTGGTACAAAACACAGTGTATGTTGTGCCCACCCCTGGTACAAAGCACAGTGTATGTTGTGCCCACCCCTGGTACAAAGCACAGTGTATGTTGTGTCCACCCCTGGCACAAAGCACAGTGTATGTTGTGCCCACCCCTGGTACAAAGCACAGTGTATGTTGTACCTACCCCAGGTGCAAAGCACAGTGTATGTTGTGCCCACCCCTGGTACAAAACAGTGTATGTTGTGTCCACCCCTGGCACAAAGCACAGTGTATGTTGTGCCCACCCCTGGTACAAAGCACAGTGTATGTTGTACCCACCCCAGGTGCAAAGCACAGTGTATGTTGTGCCCAACCATGGTACAAAGCACAGTGTATGTTGTGCCCAACCCTGGTACAAAGCACAGTGTATGTTGTGTCCACCCTTGGCTACACAAGTGAATGAGGGGCGCCCACTCCTGGCTACACAAGTGGACGAGGGGTGCCCACTCCTGGCTACACAAGTGGACGAGGGGTGCCCACTCCTGGCTACACAAGTGGACAAGGGGTGCCCACTCCTGGCTACACAAGTGGACAAGGGGTGCCCACTCCTGGCTACACAAGTGGACAAGGGGTGCCCACTCCTGGCTACACAAGTGGATGAGGGATGCCTACTCCTGGCAACACAAGTGGATGAGGGATGCCTACTCCTGGCAACACAAGTGGACGAGGGGTGCCCACTCCTGGCTACACAAGTGTGCCTACTCTTGTTACACAAGTGTATAGGTGTGCCAACTTCTGGTTATACAATAAAAGCGTATGTGTGTGCCCACCCCTGGTACACATTACAGTGTGTGTGTACAGACCCCTGGTACACATTACAGTGTGTGTACAGACCCCTGGTACACATTACAGTGTGTACATACCCCTGGTACACAGTGTGTGTACAGATCCCTGGTACAGTGTGTGTACAGATCCCTGGTACAGTGTGTGTACAGATCCCTGGTACAGTGTGTGTACAGATCCCTGATACACATTAGTGTGTGTGCAGACCCCAGGTACACATTACATTGGTCACCAGATCAACAAATATGCTCTGTGGCTTGACAATCAAAACACTTCTGTAACATTTACACAATCTACCTAGTCCTAAATATTTTCCTCACCTTCAAGACTTCATATTACTCGCTACTCCAGCTGGTGGTAGCGGCCTGTCTGTGTCGGCCGGTGGTAATAATGGCAGGCGTGTGGGTGGGCATCCTGGTGCTGGTGCAGGCCATCCTGGGACTTCGAGCAGCCAACACTAACTTTTCTCAAGCCCTGTAAGTAACACCACCACTCACTTGTATTGCACCGGAGTACACATCATGCAAGTGTGCTCAGCCACCTGTCCTGGGACTTTCAGTAGCTGACAGTACCTCTCTCACCCCCTGTAACTACCTACATGTACTGCACCAGACCACACCTTGGCCACGCAATCTGTAACTGGCATTTTCCTCACAACGCGTTGTTTAGAGTAATATTTTTCATTCCCACACTCTTAAATGACTACTGCACTAACAAGCCTTATAAAGACATCTTAGTTTCTTAGGTTTAAAAACATTTCAACTGCGCAAATTAACTGTACATTAATACCAAGAATACTTTAACCCCTAAAATAATAGAAAATAAAGTAAATTCAGTGTATATACAGATATGTACCCTCATGTAAAGTAATTAGTATTGATCAAAGAGGGTAACTCAGATTACTTGGATCAAGAGCCTTTCAGCAGTATCAAGGAATATCCCCCCCTTGTAGGGGTGGGAGTTGCTAACAACTGTTTACTACACTTGGATGAAGAGCCCCCCCCTCACCGCGGTCAAGGAACCTCCTTTAAGGGGGTCGATCCAAGGGAAAGATACGTTGAGTTCCTTGGATCACAAACCCCTCAGTGGCATCAAGGACCCTCTCATAAGTTACAAGAGACAAGTGCTGCAACGATGTAAATGTTCTCTACACTGAGAATTATTATATTACAGTGAATGTTAAACCCGTCTATATTGAGAATTCGTCAGTGGTGCAGTTGAAAATTTCGCTGCTGGTTGACGTCACTAACATTCTAACTTTCGCTCCAAGCTAACGAAGAGCATTTGCATTTCTCAGTCATATATCTTTAAGAAACATGTTCATTTATTTTCTCAATCTTGCCACAGTTTAACCAGTCATTCAAATTCAAATTCAAATTCAAAGTTTATTCTCTATAAGGATTACAATGCTGAGTTTACAGAAATTTGGTTATTGTGTGGTTTACATGTAGTAAAATTGTGATTACAGAGTGTACCACTAGAACGCTTAGCATGGCTAGGCATTTCGGGCAGACTTAGTTTTATTCTTAATTGTAAAATATTACAAATTATGAGGTAAGTTGGTATTATGGCTAAGTGACTAAATACTAGTTTGTGAGTTTAGCAATGTGAATGCTTTTGTTTTGGCACAGTACATAGTTTCAGTATTAGAGTATCACAGGATTCATTATTGTAAGATTGAGATTAATATTTCTCTTTATGGTCAAATGAGTGAGTGAAAGTGTGAACCACCAGGTGGTATTCGTGTAGTTAGTTGACGGGGTGTATCAGGGAGATAAGATGTTTTCTAATGGTAGTTTTGAAGGTGATGAATGTGTCTGCAGTTCTAGAGTTCTCAGGTAGGGTATTCCAGATTTTAGGGCCTTTGACATACATTGAATTTTTGTAAAGGTTTAGTCGGACACGGGGAATGTCGTAGAGATGTTTGTGTCTGGTGTTATGCCTGTGGGTTCTGTCACAACTATCAAGAAAGCGTTTTAGGTCAAGGTTGATATTAGAGTTTAAGGCCCTGTAGATGTAGATTGCACAGTAGTAAGTGTGGATGTACTGAACTGGGAGTAAGTTTAGGTCTATGAAGAGTGGGGGGGTGTGTTGCCAGGGATAGGATTTAGTGATTATTCTTACCAAGTCGATATTTTAATCAGCTCCTCATTCACAATGGTGTTGAGGGTGGCAAGATTAGGGTGAGAGATGACATAAGTCGTGTCATCAGCAAAGAGAATGGGTTTCAGGTGTTGGGATACGTTTGGAAGGTCATTGATGTATATGAGGAAGAGCAGGGGACCAAGGACACTTCCCTGCGGAATTCCAGTATCAAGTGGCCGTGTTGCTGATGCTGTGTCTTTAATGGTGACGTACTGATACCTATTAGTAATGTAAGATTTGAAATAAGCAAGCGCATGGCCTCTTATACCGTAATGATCAAGTTTGTGGAGTAGGATGTCGTGGTCTACTGTGTCAAAAGCTTTTCTTAGGTCAATAAAAGTTCCTAGTGGATATTCCTTATTTTCCAATGCTGTGTAAAGCAGATCTAGCATTTTTATGATTGCATCATTAGTGCTTTTATTTTTCCTGAATCCAAATTGGCAGGGGTTGAGTATGTTTTGAGCCGTTATAAATGAATACAGTCTCCTGTGCACGAGTTTCTCAAAGATTTTGGATAGCAATGGTAAGTTAGATATTGGCCTATAGTTGTTTAAGTCTGTAGGGTCACCACCTTTATGTATTGGTGTAACCCTTGCCATCTTGAGTAGTTTCGGGAAGGTGCTAGTCTCTAGTGACTTGTTAAAAAGTAATGAAATAGCATGCGAAAGGACATGGGCCGCTCGCTTGTACAGTAATGGTGGGACATGAGACAGATTCCCCGAGTTATTTTTAAGTGACTTTATAATCTCAGTGACTTCCGTGGGCTCAGTTGGTGCAAGATAGAAGGAATTAGGGAAACTCCCATCTAGGTAGTCCCCAGCATGGGCATTGGTATGTGGGATTTTACTGGCGAGATTAGATCCTATGGTTGAGAAGAAGTCGTTTATCTTGTTAGCTGTGTCAGTGGGATGTAGTGGTGTTTCATTAGGTTTAGTTAGGACAATATTCTTGGTTTTTCTCAGTTTGTGGGTCCCTAGGGTTATTATATTATTTATATTATTGATATTATTATTATTATTATTATTATTATTATTATTATTATTATTATTATAACTACTGAAAAACGCGCTAAACCCATTTGGTTCATTTAGCCTGTATGCACAAAATTATTTTGTGCGCCACAAGTGGACCAGTACAACCACACATTAATTCGAAAATTTTTGTACGCCATCATATTAAAAGACTTATGGACACCTAAGTCTCTTGGATGTGGGAGATGCTAACCGTCGCCTAAAGCTCTAAACTAAGGTGACAGTGTCTGCACAATTTCACCCCTGAATATCTTTCCCATATATTCTCTTCAGAGTGGTGGGCCACGCATGGGTGTCTGGTGTAGTGTGTGTGGTATGTCTGGCCGCAGCTGGCTATCTCTGCTCCAACCACCTCACACTGGCCTGCATCTCCACTTTCCACAGGCCAGATCACTCCTCAGGTGAGTCCCACTTGTATGCACTAGAAAAACAAGCAGTGGATATTATATTAATTATAGGGAAGAGCTAAGCCCGTTTGGGTTATTCAGCGCAAGGAGTGGTGGAGGCTCCATCCTCCGTCCTCTAAGAGCCGGACAAGCTACCTAACCACTTTCTAACCACATATTAATAGAGGAAAACTAAGTACTGAATTGAAATCTAAATACAGAACAATCGAACCAATTCAGATAGGAAGGCATCACTCCAGTTGATTAATAGCTTATTATTATTATTATTTTGATTATTATACAAAAAATAATGATTAAGCGGCGGTTCCCAATGAGCTGGAACTTGAATCAATATATTATAACTCTATAATAATATACGTATGTATTTCTGTTTTTATCGTAATATACGTATGTATTTTAGTTCTGTTGTTGAAGGTAAGCATTGGTCCTACCGTACATGGCTTGCAGGTATGTATTTATTCATTAGTAGCGCTTCTGCAGGTGGTGAAAATACAATGTGTAGGGTATTTTACCGTCTGTGGAGCGGCTGTACAAGGCGGTGTAGTGTATTTAATATCACTGGTCTTTACCCCCACAAGGTGCGGATGTTCTTGGTGTAGTGTACTTGTTCATCACAGTCGTGAGGCGGTACGTGGCAGCTGAGTACTGTACTTGTTTATCAAAAGTGCTTCATCCCAGTGGTGCGACTGTACATGATGTTGTACTACACTTATTCATCAGTGACACTTTATCCCACAGTGGTGCGACTGTACGTCGTGGAAGTGGTGGCTCTGGTAGAATCTCTTCCCTGTCTCACAGGTGCTATCGTCTCTCTCCTAGGAGCTGCCCTCTCTGCCCGTGCTGCCTGTCCTCCCAAGGTAGGTGCTGCCACCTACGTTACGTCTACGTCACCGCTACTATTCACGTCTCGATGAATTAATAGCCATAGCTTGCTTCTCCCTACGCACATCATTAATTACTGTTGGGTCTAGCCAGTAATTGGAAGGGTGACTGCATGGACATAGCTTTGTCCTTGGCTAGTACTTCAATAGCCATTGGCTTCCTGTCGTCTATATGGACTTTGTCATGTTGCCACCCATGACATATCCGTCGCCACCGTAACTTAAGTCGATGACAATGTTGTAACCTCAATATTGTCATTATTACATTCAGGGGGAAGCGCTAAATCCGTAGGAGCCATACAGCACCTGGAGATTGATCTTACTTTACTAGTGTGTTTAAAAGGCATATAAATTCCCCCGTCTTCTAATAATATATTCATTTTTCCACTGTAATCTACCTTGTCCATAATTATTAACTCGTTTACTTTGTTTCGTAAGGTGAAGTCCAGGATCTTTCTTTAATTCATGGTATAACTTGACAAATCTTTGAGGACAACTGTGTTGCAGAGGTCTCAGCACAGCTCAGATTATGGACAAGGTAGATTATAGTGGAAAAATCGCGGGTTCTATCCCTACCCGTGGTATGGTTTGTTTAAAATGAACATATTATTAGAAGATGGGGGAACTTACGTGCCCTTTAAATGGTCTCAAAAAGTATCCTCCGAAAAGCGATTTCGAATATTAACTTGAAGCCTGGTGCCAGCATTAAAGCTGGCCTCCCCAGGTGTAGTTTATAAAATATTTGCAAATTATTCGTTGCAACAACAATGAGAAAATGAGCTGTGTTTACACAGCGGTAACTCAACCACTGGTTCGTGCCCATGTGTTATGAATTGAGAATCTAATTTACTCACTGAACGTATGAGCCTGTTGCTCATATGAATTTCTTTTAGCACAATTTTTTCTATATTCAAAAAATGATTTTCATTGAAATACATGTAAATATGTATTTAGTTTTTACGTAACAAGCGTTTTTTGTATATTTCATGTCTGTATTTTTTACACACAATCCCGATATTGATTTTAAAATATATTTTGACAGCAAAAACCGGAGACGCCATTTGTGCTGTATCTGCCACGCTGGGAAGAAGGTACATACGGCAGTGACCAACACACAGTCATCAGATCACAAGCCACACAACCATCTGCACCTGGTTCAGCCAACCAGAGTGTACAGAGGAACAACTCTCCTCCTCCTTCATATAACCAGATAGCCGAGGAATCATTTGCTTAGAGCTTGTATTGTAAAATTGGCTGCCATACAGTAGATCATTATATTTACGCTGAAGCTCTGAAACCGTAGGTATTATGCAGCTTCTGAGGAAGGGTAGATTAGTTTGATTTCTTGAATCAAGAACTCTTCGCCACCATCCATTCCCTTCTTCCTCTTGAAGGGTTCAACATGTTCCTATTCATAACTATGTGAAATCTCACAATCTGCAGTGGTGTGTTGTACTTAGCCTATTATCCTCTATGACATCCACTTGAATTCTCGATTTTTTCTGTAACATTGTCAAAAACCAGGATGCTTGAAATTTGAATTATTTTTCCAGTAGAAAGGCTAATTCCACTACAGATGATATGCAGTATATCTTTTATTTTTCCACTCAGTCATTGCATTTCTCTATGCAAAATAAGTTAAGTATCCCGAAGGACTTTTTCGAGTTACATGTATATAATATTTGACAGGTAGAAACACTAGGAGGAACAAATGCGAAAGTTTAATATAAATGTTTCCGTGGCTAAGGTAGACTCACAGTGAAGACAAAAATACGAGCTGCAGAAGAAGTGTTTATTGAAATAAAGTTTCACACAAACATAAGGTTGTAAAATAAAAAGACACAAGTGCAACTAATGTGACATTTTGCTGAGGCCACAATAAAATTTCACATTAGTTGCACTTGTGCCCTTTTACTTTACATATTGTCGGTAATTCTACCAACATTATTACAAACATAAACTTGTTTAGCAACTTGTGTCTGTATTTGTGTCTGTCTTTATGCTCGTTGGCGTTACACCATTTACATAGACTTATTGTTAGGATTAAACGATTAAATTATTTATTTTTTTGTTTTTTTAAACACGTTCCACGTTTATACCGCTGAATTAATATTTGCACATTAATGAAAGCTGTAAACGGAAGGCAGAGTTACAAATTTTCAAGCAGGAAAGTCGTGGGTGTTCCGTAATGTGCAATTTTCTATGACAAACTGCAGGTCGTGCTAGTAACTGAGGCTGGAGACGTTGACAGCTGCTAACCTGCCCCTTCCTTCCCTCCTCAAGAATTACTCTAGGAAATTTTCTTATATCTATAGTGTACATGTGAGTAAGAAACATGTAAGAATGCATAAGTTCTCAGTAATACCATACTATTTCCACTTGTAATGTATGCTTATAGTTAAATTAGTAATTTGTATCAATACACATTCTAGCCTGGAAATAATTCGGTATAACCTTCGTCTCGCTTAATTAATGTTAGGAAAAAAATATATATTTGCACCTGTATCCTGTGTTATATTATAATTTACATATATAATAATCTGTAAAGTTTAGTTATATATTTTTATGTTAACTTGATATTTATATTACTATTATAATTATTAATTCATAATCATTATTACACAGTGGTAAGAGGCCTGAGCTTGCTACCATCTGCAGCTCATAAGACTGCCATCCCCACGAGCCCCTTTGAGGCGGGGTAGATGGCAGACAAGAGGCCTAGCTTCTCCCTACGAGCCCCGTGAGGGCGGGGAATGTGGCTAGGCCTGGGGACACTTGGTCCCAAAGATGAGGAGGTACTGTACCTCCTCCCATGGGAGACTTAAGTCTCGAGACACTCCCCAGATAGGGAGCCAAGGCCGGGTCACCACTACTTGGAAAAGACCCGGGCCGGGAGAATACCGGCGAATAAAAAAAAAAATAAAAAATACACAGTGGCATCGATACCATGCCCAGCCCTTCTAGGGTAGGGTAGGTGCCTGAGTCCGAGCCTTTAGCTCATAAGACTGTCATTCCCATTAGCCCCCTTGGGGCGGGGATGGCAGACCAGAGAGGCCTAGCTTGTGGCTAGGCCTGGGGACAGTTAGTCCCAAAGATGAGGCGGTACTTGTGTCTCCTCCCATGGGAGACTTAGCTCTCAGACACTCCCTAGAGAGGGAGCCAAGGCCGGGCCACCACTTGGAAAAAGTCCGGGCCGGGAGAATACCGGCGAATCTTTAATAATAATAATAATACACAGTGGCGAATAAAAAAAAATACACAGTGGAAATATTTACATATGGAAAGTTTAACGTGTGTGCTCTTTAAATCATGCCCGGGCGCGATATAAAATTTAATTATTTTACTAATATACAATAATTATAACTAATATTATTACTAATTATTTTCAGTGAAAAGCAGCAAACCCATAGGGGTCATACAACGACTGATTATTAGGATTAATTTAAAAGAGATCACTAAACCCGTAGGAGTAATAGTGGGCATTGGGGAAGGGGGGTGGAGAATGCGAGGAAATCAAGATCGATCCAAGGAAAGGGAGGTCTAATTTCTTGGATCAAGAGCTTTGAGGAATGAGAGGTAATCAGGCCCGATGGAAAGGGAAAGTAACTCCAAGTCCTTGGAACAAGAGTACTCGGTCAACAGGTTCTGGAGTGCCGGTAGCATTTCTAGTGTATGCTGGGCACGGCATAACAGCCACTGCAAAGTTTTAACCTTATTAATGCTTTCATTTAGACTTATATTTATCAAGACGAACAAACTGTCTGTTCCGCGTCACTTCCAGACCAATTTGTGGCGTATTTTTTTTTTTAAATCAAACAATACCTCAAGAAAAGTTTCCTGATACCGGTGAGGGGCTCTTAATCCTAGAATCCTAGGAACTAGATTTATCCTCCCCATGGATCAAACTTGAATGCTTCCAATTCTCCCCAGGTGATATATATATATATTTAAATGGAGGAGAGAATAAGCAATCTTGATGCCCATGATGCTCTGTATCTCCTCACAAGGTGCCTTACTATTCCAAGACTCACTTACTTCCTGAGGTGTGCACCCTTTTTGACAACCCAACACTCGACGAATATGACGCACACCTGAGGTCAACCCTTAAGAAGGCACTGAACCTGTCACTAGAGGATCAGCAATGGGATCAGGCAACCCTCCCAGTACGACTGGGAGGTATAGGGGTGCGCAAAGCAACGCATGTTGCTTTACCTGCTTTTCTGTCTTCGTGTTTGGCTTCCAGTGCATTAGTCAAGAAGATTGTTCCCGAACGCTTGAGAGACGCGGAAGGAGCTCAAGACCCCAGGTTTACTGAAGCAGCGATTCGGTGGAACACCCTTACAGATTCCTCCAGTAGACCAGCTCCTCCCAAAGAACACAAACAGTCCCACTGGGACAAACCGATCATGGAAAAAATCGCCAACACAATGCTCTCCAATGCCTCAGGAAAGGACAAAGCTCGTCTCCTGGCAGTGAAGGCACCACACTCAGGAGATTTCCTGTTAGCTGTTCCCAATTCCTCCTTGGGCACTCGACTAGACCCACAGGCCATTCGGATTGGTGTTGCTCTTCGCCTAGCCGCCCCCATCCTCACCGAACATAGGTGTATTTGCGGCAGGGCGACAGCTGATCAATTCGGACTTCATAGTCTCGTGTGTCACACAGAAGGGAAGTATGCCAGGCATGAGGAGGTCAATGACATAAAGAGAAGCCTCGCCACAGCCCGTTGCCCAGCTCAATGGGAATCCCAAGTGCAGAGGTCTGACGGAAGCCAAAAGCGTCCTGATGGAGCCACTATGCTACCTTGGAAGGATGGAAAGCAGATTGCCTGGGACTACACATGTGCCGCCACGTTGGCAGACACTTACTTGCCATACTCCGTAGTGGAAGGGGGTGGAGCTGCCAGCCACAGGGAGACCCAGAAGATCCGCAAATATGAAGACCTTCCCGCTTGCTATAACTTCATTCCAATAGGGTCGGAGACCCTAGGAGCATGGGGCAAGTGTGCTCTAAAGTTCCTAATAGAGCTGGGTGAAAAGCTCATCATAGAAACCAAGGACCACAGGGCGACCAGCTTCCTCTTTCAGAGACTCAGTGTTGCGATCCAGAGAGGAAATGCCTGCAGCATTCTGGGCACGCGGCCCACCGCCGGGGAGCTGGACGAAGTATTCGAGATGTAGCTCTGAGTTACCTATGTTGTTTTACTTTCTATCGTATTTTTGTGAATGTTTTGTCAATGTATTTTGTCTTTAAATAAAATATATATAAAATATAGGGGGTGGTAGGAGAAAATTCTCAAACAGCTTCAGGGAGAACCTTGAATTTTCCCTGAAGCAAGTTTATTCTTTTCTCTGAGGATGAGGGTCCCTATAACAGTTCTAGAGGTGGTACTTAATATATATATATATATATATATATATATATATATATATATATATATATATATATATATATATATATATGCAAAACAACCACTGTGAAAGAGTAGTGAAATTCCAAGCGCTTTCGTGACTACTCACATTGTCAAGGAACTATGAAAGTAATACATCAAAGGAAGGCAATTAAAGGGTGAGGACCACACCTCACAGTCAACTCCCACAATAAATATATTTTTATTCTTATTCTTATAATGACAACTAAGCGCTAAATGCACAAGGGTCATACAGCCCTGGTAATATTATAATTATTAGAAAGCGTTAAATTCGTTAAGGGTCATATTGCGCTTGGGGAATGTGAATCAGGTTTGATTCGAGGGTGAATACAGCTCCAGTTCCTTGGATCAAGAGCCTTTCGCCAGCATTAAGGTATCCTCTACCCTCTTTGAAGGGTTATTTATCAATTTTCTTTTTAAAGATTTTTTTTCTGAAGCTTGTTGCACTCTGTCGCACAGCATTGTACCACACTGATGATTTTAGCGAATTTCATGAATATAAAATGTATGTGTGTGTGTGTGTGTGTGCTCACCTAATTGTACTCACCTAATTGTGGTTGCAGGGGTCGAGACTCAGCTCCTGGCCCCGCCTCTTCACTGATCGTTACTAGGTCCTCTCCCTCTCTGCTTCCTGAGCTTTGTCATACCTCTTCTTAAAACTATGTATGGTTCCTGCCTCCACTACTTCACTTGCTAGGCTATTCCACTTCCTGACGACTCTATGACTGAAGAAATATTTCCTAACGTTCCTGTGACTCGTCTGAGTCTTCAGCTTCCAGTTGTGACCCCTTGTTTCTGTGTCCCCTCTCTGGAACATCCTATCTCTGTCCACCTTGTCTATTCCCCGCAGTATCTTGTATGTCGTTATCATGTCTCCCCTGACCCTTCTGTCCTCCAGTGTCGTCAGTCCGATTTCCCTCAACCTTTCCTAGTACGACATTCCCCTGAGCTCTGGGACTAGCCTTGTTGCAAACCTTTGTACTTTCTCTAACTTCTTGACGTGCTTGACCAGGTGTAAGTTCCAAACTGGTGCTGCATACTCCAGTATGGGCCTAACATACACAGTGTACAGTGTCTTGAACGATTCCTTATTAAGGTATCGGAACGCTATTCTCAGGTTTGGCAGGCGCCCGTATGCTGCAGCAGTTATTTGGTTGATGTGTGCCTCCGGTGACGTGCTCGGTGTTATGGTCACCCCAAGGTCTTTCTCCCTGAGTGAGGTCTGTAGTCTTTGTCCACCTAGCCTATACTCTGTCTGCGGTCTTCTTTGCTCTTCCCCAATCTTCATGACTCTGCATTTGTCAGGGTTGAATTCGAGAAGCCAGTTGTTGGACCACGTGTCCAGCCTGTCCAGGTCTCTTTGTAGTCCTGCCTGGTCCTCATCTGATTTAATTCTTCTCATTAACTTCACATCATCTGCGAACAGGAACACTTCAGAGTCTATCCCTTCCATCATGTCATTCACATATATCAAAAATAGCACTGGTCCTAGGACTGACCCCTGTGGGACCCCGATAGTCACAGGCGCCCACTGTGTGTGTGTGTGTGTGTGTGTGTGTGTGTGTGTGTGTGTGTGTGTGTGTGTGTGTGTGTGTGTGTGTGTGTGTGTGTGTGTGTGCGCATGTGCATGCGCGGGTGTGTACATGTGAAGATATATATATATATATATATATATATATATATATATATATATATATATATATATATATATATATATATATATATATATACAGTGCCTGCACTCTGAAGGAGGGGTGTTAATGTTGCAGTTTAAAAACTGTAGTGTAAAGCACCCTTCTGGCAAGACAGTGATGGAGTGAATGATGGTGAAAGTTTTTCTTTTTCGGGCCACCCTGCCTTGGTGGGAATCAGCCAGTGTGATAATAATAATAATATATATATATATATATATATATATATATATATATATATATATATATATATATATATATATATATATATATATATATATATATATATATATATATATATATATATATATATGTACATA